AGTTGAATTTGAAATGAAATAAATATATTGTTGAGTTTTACGTGTTGTACGAGAGAGTATCTCGTTTACTCGTTTTATCCTTCCCATTCGTACGCTTTCCCTACATCAATTTCACAGCAACTTTAGTCTCCGTCATAAAATATGTATCAACCAAAATGTCCCGAATGAACATAAATATTAATAAGAAGCTAGAAGTAGTCCCAAAATAAAATACCGAATGGACAAAACCAAAGCAAATACCAAAACTGAACTTCCCAACCTCTGAAACACGAAACTGAGAACAGAGCAAACAGCCCAGGGAATTTCGAGCAACCGGAATTCGGCCGGACAAATTCTGACAAGCACGTGCCCTCACACGCCGCCGCGTGAGATCTGCCGCAGAAAACAAAGGCGGCGCATTTAGTTCATACACGTGGAATTTGAACCTGAAACTTCACCAGGAGGTCGGTTACCGGCCGACAAGGAGATCAGGAAGATGTGAGACTCGAAAATCCCACAAAATGAAAACCTAGGCAAATGACAGGTAGGGCTGTTTCTTAAAGAAATATAAAAACCTAATATTGGTCTGCAGAAAAAAGAAAATGTCGCAGCTCTGATACCATGTTAACACAGAGAACCTATTCATTGATCAAAGAATACAGGAGTCCTATTTATATACACAACTAAGAGCTAACTGAATCCTAATCAAATTTCTTAACTGTAGATAGTATATATTCTTTTCGAAGGAATTTTTATGAACTTAGTATGATGGGAGAAAAGGACTTCAATATTTAAATAATATACACCAACAAAAAAGAGAGGCGGGAAGCAAAAGTATCCTCAAAAAACCATTTAGTTTGCAGAGTATCTGATGACAATTTCATCAGTGACTCTGTAATTGCTGCAACCATATTTTCCTGCTTCACAAGTAACACATAGTGTTACACACAGAGTGCCAAGGCCATCCCGCTCAACTTCTTACAACTTAGGTTTGGTTACATATTTTAGTGTTTGAAGGTATCTACATTGCCAGTGGCTGGTCATTTTTCCTATTTGCATGATTTGGCTGAGTTGAATAATAAGGAAAAGAAAATATTCAAGGCATTATTCTAGAATCACGCTGATGATATCTGGAAATGATACTTTAGATCCAGAACCCTATGTATATAGAATCATAAAAGGTAGAAAAGGTGTACATGATGCATGTGAGCCATATAAGCCATGCAAATAGTCACCATGAACCACTTGCCTCAAATGTGTTATGAACCTGGATTTCTACAATTTTTATCGTCTGTAATTTTTTGGTAAATGATAGAGAGAGTAGAGCTGAAGAGGGAGATAGATATAAAGTGAGGGATAAGAATTCAGACGGGAGGGCAAGAGAGAACTTGAGAGAGAATATTGAATTTTTATATTTTTTATATTAGTGTTTTTCATAGGCCGTGTTACGGCTTATCATAGGCCGTTTTACGGCTTATCATAGGCCCTGTTACAAAGCCGTAACTAATATATCATACTTACTAAGACCCAAGCTCATTTCATATTATGACAAAACTAATATAAAATAAGTAGCTAAACTATTAATCCACCACGAATCTCCGGAAGGGTATAGTCCATACATCGGGTGCATGACAAAATGCAATAGTTTCATACAGAAACCCAATATAAGATACTTACTTGTGGAATAGGGTGTTGAAGAACTGATTCAACGGCAATAACCATAGCGTTAACAAAGTCATCCCCCCCAGTTCCAATTGCAGTAAATCCTCTAGCTGTTGGATATGAGTTCACCTTTGAAGCAACACGTGCACAAATTTGACGTCAATAACATTTGAACAAAAGATAGCTCTAAAACTGGATGAACACTGGTGCACAGATATATGTTTAGGATCAATGTGACAATAGTATTCCTAATTTTTATTACCTTTACAAGTCATTCAATATATACAACAAAATAAAAATGCACAAACCTTCCATGCCTGAAAAAATTAACTGCTGGAAGTATGTATCAACTCAAAGAAGCAGTTAGGAGTCGTATCAACTCAACAGAGCTGCTAGGAGGCCAATAGTGTAGATATGAATGTACAGAAACATACCTTCTGATCTAGAGCAAGCCACTCATTCGTTGAATCATCCGTAACTGTACCTCCCATAACTACATTAGTAGTTTGTCCCACTCTTCCTTCAGCCTTGGAAACTTCTAAAAACGCCCAAAAAAGGGTATCACACACCTTATCAAATTAGCACCAAAACATAAACTAAACAGGTAAACTACTGAAAGTTTACTCCATCACAAATTCAAATCCTTTGTAACTTTGCAGCATGATAGCCTACCACAAAATATCTAATAACACATATCAATCAAATTGGCATTCTTATCATTTGCTAGGAAAAAAAAAAGGTTAAAATCAGATAATCACTAACAAATTAGAACATAATAACTGAATCAGACAAGAAAGTCGCCGAGTTGGACATGTTCATGCTTAGCGCAAATAAGGCCAAGAGGATGTATCAGTTACCGAGTAATACACATGGTAAAGGATAAGATACCCAAAAACCAGCGAAAAGGTAAATTTGCAAGACCATCGAGATTAGAGTTAAAAGTTACGAATATGTCCAGCTATGCACCTGATATAGCCTTCAAAACGGCTTCTTGAGGAGGGCCTTGCTCCGAATCAGCACCAGGTAAAGACGAGTTCACGTCATTTGAGCTGTTCCTTGAGAAATTGCAGCGTTTTGCCACTATTGCGGTTTTACAACCGCAATTTGAATTTGGTGATGCAATTTTCCGGCGGATTAATACAATTGGTGAAAAAATGGATGATTGTTTGTTAATAGAAGACATAGGCAGCCATGGGTCGGTCAAGCAAACGGTTCTCAAAGCAAGCCTACACGCCATTTTCGAACCTTTTCTTGCTGAACAAAACCCAGATTTTCCGACTGTAACTTGCTTACACGATATCATACACCAGTGTGTAGTTTGAGTTTTTCTGTTTAAAAAATTTGTGAAAGATTTTTTTTCTTTGTCGTGCAAGAGAAGATCACAACGGATTTCGCTCATCAGTCGTAAACAAGCGGTTCTACCCTTTTGTAGCCGAAAAAGACCAGAATACCCCTATAACAAAATATATTATCAACTATTAAAAGAAAAACAAAAATTATATTATATATGTAGGGTTTGGTTCCAATAAATCCACTACATAATCTACCTTATAAAGCGTTGATCCTTGTTTTAGAAGGATAGTCTCATGTCTTTTTTATCTACTTCCTTTGATTATGTTCTAAGTCCATGTATCCAATGAATGTTCTCATGATTGTATTTGCAAAAAACAAAAAGTGAGTATGTGAGACTCATTCATAGTCACAAAATATGTATCAAAATGTGTGACCAAAATTAACTCTTCATTTAAATAATTCTTTATTTTTATTATTTAATTTTTTATTTATATTATTTTAAGTATTTAAATATTATTTTGATCATTCATCGTTGACTATTGACTATGGCATTGACCGTTGACTTCTGACGCTGACTGTTGACTTCGATCGTTGACTCGTTGACTTAGTATGCATCATGTATAAAGTAAATATTCATTCAGCACTATGCACTTAATATGAAATAAATAGACATAGGATATGAATTATATATGCAATCCTTATGAACCAAATATGCATTGTTGCCAGTATTTTTACCGGAGTAGAATCGAAAGATCCGTTCCCCGGATCGTATCGCAAGGAAGGTTGGCTGGATTTAATTGTACGATTATTCAATCACGAAAAAAAAAAAGAAAAAAAATTCCTAAACACTCTAATTCAATAGTTTGGGATTTTCAATTATCAGCTAATGGCTTTAAACTAACTAAAAGGCAATTTCAGTAGCAATCAACTTCACTTAATGATAAAACAGATAGGGAATCGGGGATAATCGCTTTCGGTTCTGACACAAATACCGGGCAATTATTTGTCCCATTTTTGTTGTATTTTTCCTTGTTATTTTTCCTTTCTTTTTCCCCATATTAAGTCTTTTAGTTTTTTTTTAGTTAGTTTTGTCGTTTATTGCGTGTTTTTCTTCTATTTGGAATCTTTTAGGTATTTTCGTTGTTTTTCGGTCATTTTTCGGCTTTTTCTTTGTTTATGGTGTGTAGGTCGGAAGCCTCGGGAGAATCGAGTTTCAGGCGAATAATAGCAATGCAAGCGTAATTATATAGAAGGTTTTGTTGGCAACGAGCAGGAGAAAACGGAATCAAATTTCGAGTCCAAACAAGCCGAGACGAGCCCGAGACGCAAAGTACACGGAAGCGACCAG